AAACGCCTATTATTGTAGTTGCGTTTATGAGTGCTTCCGACGTACATGAATTGAAAGAATTCCTATATTGACTTTAAGTTTTCTATCTAATCCTCGCTCACAACAAAGAGGCAAATGGGAATACGTAAATCTGTCTGCCTTCTTCTACACATCTAGGTATCGCAAGTGAAAGAGACAAATAATTTTGAATCTTTCCATTTTGCTGTAGAAACATACAAAGATTAAAGGTAAACCTCATCTGATTTTCAGTGCTTGGGAGTGTAACAAACTGAAAGAAAATAGTAATAGACGAACTATTTCAGAAGTGGTCGTTTCTCTGACTTGGAAATACATCTGTCCCTCTGTCCGCATTACTTCACATAATAATAAGCTTTAGAATGCTTGCCAGACACTTCTTAAACGTTCAAGCCAATCACAGTCACAACAATATAAAAACATGATAACACGACAATGTACATATATATATATAAATATATATAAATATTTATGTACATCTAGTGTTCTTTAAACACCTAATGCATACATACAATAAATAACGTAAAGGCCCTTGAACAAAACATACTATACACAATAATCTTGCACTGTTCACGTGAACATTTTACGATAATCACGCGGGCAACGCGTGAACATATCGTTACGAAAATAACACTTAGTATACGTAGTTTTTGAATGGTATTGTTGTTCAGATGAGTATGCATGCGTGTGCATGTGTGTATTGTATTCATGAAACTCATTCTCTGTGAAATATTTTGCAAGTCAATTACCTTGACGTTGATTGGCTGTACAGGAAACGAGCCCCTTTTCATAAGCATTGCCAGCAACGGTTATCACATCAAAATTTATGAATTTCTATATAATATCCCAAAAAACTGATTACATAGTATATAAACAATAGTCAACTAATTGAGAAATATTAATTATAATAATAATATATTAATAAATAATTTTCTACTGAGTAATTCAATTTGTAATTCATCTCCAACTGGCAGTGCCATTAATGATGTACTTTTAAACAATACTCTTCAAATGTTCTCATTCGAGAGAAAACAGAGAGAGAGAGATAGAAAAAGAGAGAGAGAGAGTTCTTATTTGATAATTATGTCTTTTGTGTTATTGCAATTATACTACTTACTATGCATATCAACAGTTGGCTTGGCTTATGCACAACCAATGAAATACAATAACAAATCAACCTAGTTTCCATTAATAAAATAGTCTAAATTTATCAAAATAAAAAAACAATTGCATCTAAGTTGCTACATTCACAAACTCTTAAAGGCAAAATTTTAAAAGCACTTATTAATGAAATTCTTCATTCCGTTAAAACTTAATGACATTCTATCGACGTTTGGATGTAAGCGCTTATTTACACATTCATCCAAAATGAATTATATGTACGGTGTATGTATGTATGCCTAACGTTTTCAACAATCTCTGTTTCTATCTCCGTTATTACCAGGCATTGTTTATTATTTTTATGTAGGAGTGTGTGTGTGTGTGTGTGTGTGTGTGTGTGGGAATGGTCGCTTGGCTGCTGTCTTACGATGCTTGTTGTTGGAATGGATGCAAATATGATGTGTCATGGATGATGGAATCACGCTCGTATAGCGTGGTGAATCGTTTCGAAATACTATTTAAATTTAAATTTATTTCAAAAACAACAACAGTGCTGCTTAAAATCAGAAATATGTTAACAGCTGTTTTATAACGTATAAAAAGCGACTTTTTCGAGCAATGATTAAAATGAGAGAGTGTATGGTGGAGAAATTTTTATAATAGTATCTACATATGCATGAAATTTTTATGATAGTAGCTACATGCATGTCTTTATATACGTTTGCTCAGGCATATTCCCTTTCTCTATACATACGCATATATGTATTCTTCTCTTTGATTACAAATTTAATTGCTTATACTTATATATATACTAATAGTTTTAGAATGACCTTGTGACTGGCATTACAGATTGACCTTATACATGATACAATAATAGCATATCTTAACATTGGAATTGCAAGTATATCAATAATACAATTGCATTTATTGGGACTTACACGTGTTTGACACAACATCAACCATGTTTATATACCTACTTATATACAACTGAATGCGTGGAAGCGTAAGCATTAAGCGAAAGGTATTCGATGAATAGGCTAATGTATAGTTAATTAACTCACGTAGATTTTTGGACAATAGGTTAGCAATTTGAAGATTCTTTAAAAAGGTATTCATATTAGATTTGATATGCCTTATAAACCTCTACTTGTATTTCCAATGCTTGTAAGACCTTAATTAAGTGGAACTGGAATGTAGACAATTGGAAACAACATGCATTTGAGCGTTAGACAGAGAAGTGCCAAACGTAACCGTGTAAAAACTTTAGAGTTGTCTTATACCAGTAGTAAATCTTTACCGAGATGTCAATGCCTTTCTCCTAGAACCTTGAAAAAAATCTAGATGACCCGCTATTTCCATACGCATGAATCACATTTTGGTTGATCGTTTAACTGGCTTTATATGAACGTCGATACATAACATTATAGATCTAGAATTTCGTTTAACTTTGAATAAAAATTTCCTTTCATTAATCTATATTCATTTAAGGTATTCAACAGATAACATTTACTATATTATATTATTCATTGTTATTGCTCTCAGCGTTAATGATACATTTTATGATTTTTTGATATAATACACGAATAATGAATAAATGTTTCGACTGAATTTTCGTTTTAAATAATGAAGGTCACGTTCTGTGTATCATATATTATTCATCAGTATATATGGGTAAAACAATAAAGAAATCTCGTTCGACTTAAACTGATCTTTTTGACATCATTCTCTTACGCTTGGCTTTTTTGTTTTTAATAATAAATAGGAAAGAAAGTGGAGATTAGCAATGTAACCCTAACGTGCTACATAAACGTATCTTTCCAATACTTAAGGGTTATTTTCAGGATAAGGTGAAATAAAACTTTGTATAGACTTATGACTCGAAGTCATCAACAAATTATAGATAAAGAATTTTAAAAAAATATTCTAGCTGAGATATTTCTTCCTCTTTTCTTAGAAACTAAATGCCGGTCAAATGGAAATCTGCTTATCTTTTGTGTAGTCGTCATTGCGTTTTTCTTCATTTTTAAAATGGAAGCACAAAACGCCAAGATGTGAAAAAATGCAGCGTACACACATTAAAAGGAATTGCGCTATCTAACAGTAGCGTTTACCCTGAACGCACAAGCGTAAAACGAAGGTGTATTCGATTTGTCTTTCTACCTAAATTATCCATTTACGAAACGTGTCTTATCAGCTGATCAAACAGCAAAATGCTTTACCTTTCTTAAGCATTAACTTAATATGATAAATATAAAAATTTCTTCCCAAACTCAATACAACGTATTCATTTCTTTCCAATACAACAGTAAAGACCACTTAGACTGCACATGCATACATATAAGTGGCCCAAAAAAAAAAAAAAAACAAAAATTTCAAGCAAATTTCAGATACAAAAAACTCTAAGCCAGATTCTATTATGCTAAAAGTAAAATAGGCAAAGAAAGTCAGGATGACTTGCATGATTGAAAATTTTGAAGATAATTTCAGTTATTACTTTTGAATTGGTAAGCAAAGTTGTGGATTTCAACCAAGAGCAAGCAGTAACTCAAATCTGACTTTCTCTAAGCATGTCACAAATAGAGTACAAAAATGAATATAACCATTTGTTTTGGTGGCGGGTATGTAAACTATGTATATAGTTACGTTTACATGCGATATGTTTCAACCACCACTTCAAATACTCGTACAATGTTATACACATTTATGCTTATTGCAGAGATAGTGCAACAAGAAATCAGAAAGAGAAACAAGAAAAGAGCGTAGAAATCTTGTCCCTCTTTTAGTTTATGTGTCGAATGCATATATATATATATATATATATATATATATATAAACATATATATATATATATATATATAAACATATATGTATATGTGTGTGTGTTAATAAATAATCAAACGCAAAGTCCGTATAAAAGAAACATTTCCCATATTTAAATAAATACTCACACCGCTATAGAAACATCTGCTCTACCTATGTGCTTGTTTTCGTTTGTAAACGAGAAGAAAAATAAAAACGAGCCTCCTTTTTTTCGTTGAGACGCTCTTTACTTGAAGGCAAACAAATCCGTTGTGTTTTCATTTCATTCGTTATTTTTGAACGTGAATGTTCTGTTTGCTTCACTCAATGTGTGCATGAATTAAAGGAAAATTAATTTAAAACAAAAAAAAAAAAATTTCTTTTGTGAAAATAAAAAGAAAATTGAAAACTTGAAAGAAAACAAGATAGTGTTGAAAAATAATACAAGAAATCATTGAAGGCTTGTAACAAATTTTTTAAAAACATTATATAAAGGACTTGAAAATGGATATCAATTTATTACCGTCACCACCAGCCACACCTCCTTTACTCGAAAATAAAGTCGAAAATGTAAGTAGTCCTTATAAAAACTAGTGAATGATCAAATATATATGAAAAAAAAAACAATTAATAAATAAATTAAATTAACAATTTATTATATAAAATATAAAAAAAAAAAATGTGGAAAAGTGAAATAGAATTTAATGAGAAATAAAACAAAAATATTCAGAAACAATTTTTTATTTAATTTTTAAATAATAATTAATAATTTATTAATAATGTATTAAAGCATTTTTTAATATAAATATGTTTTTTTAGTAAAATAGCAATAAAACTATTCGAAAACTTTTTGATTTAATTTAAATAAATAAAACAATTAATTAATAATTTTTATAAAACAAAATTTATAATTAGAAATGGATTTTTAATTCTACAATTTCTGTAAATATTTAATTATTTTATCTAATTAGATGTACTAGAATCCACACTTCGCTTGCTTAAAAAAAAAAATAAAATAAAATAAAAATAATACCCTAATAAATTATACTGTAATAAAAAAAGAATTTCATTGCAGTGTCTTTTTTTTTTATTTTCTTCTCTTTGCTGCTTTAAAATGCTGCTTTCTTTGTTTTACTTAAAGAATTTTTGAAAACAAATGTGTTTTATCTCTTTCCAACTAATAGAACATGTTTTGATCACGCAGTAATCATTCGTCTATCAGCTGGTGTTCACGTGAACACTATACACACATTTTATAGCACAGACATGCAGTAAACGAGTGATACTTCATTGCTAAAAACAAATACAAACGTTGCATGTGCACATTCACAAGCGCATACACATCTATAAGTCATAGAAAGACAAACGACCTAGGCATCGCATGCATGAAATACAGTGAGCTCTATGTGTTTGTGTTTATGTGAATTTGTTGTTCTTGTAGATGATGTATAAATGATGTTTGGTGTTGCTGGTCGCGTATGAAATCATTATTATTATAAAAAAAAAAAAATTGGGGGAACGGCAATCATTACGGATGTGCATGCACAGAAGCAGACACACACATTTATACATGACTGCACCCAGGCCTTAATAAGCAATAGTATTGGAATATTTTTATACATAAATATATAGATATTTACACTTACGTCTAGGTTCATAGAAATATGGACGTGAAATATGCATATATATGTTTACGTCTACTTTTATAGAGAGGGCCTTGATAACTGACGTCGTCAACTAGTTTTATAACCCTAAGTCTCAATTGTAACGTTTGTGTCATACATTTACCTATAGGTTTACGATTGTTGGCTCTACCTCTCCATCAATATAAAGCAAAAGCAAAAGCAAATTCAGAAAAAAAGACGGAGTAGTTTCATGCGCGTGCATATACACATTCATGTAGTGTTTCATTTTACAACTTTACTGAGAGCACAAACCACAATATAACAACAACAATAGCTAAGCATCACCACCGAGCCCATATGAAATGCCTTTACGTAGCTGTTATTATTATTATAGCACTTACATGCATAGAGAAATGCATGCCTGGGTGTGTTTGCGCGTTATTTTGTATTCATTTATTTATCTCTTTTTTACTTTAAAAATAAACAATATTAGCTCGTGTATGACGTAGACCTTTGTATTTATAAAATCATGCATTTGACGCGTGTTGTTTATGTCTGTTTTGTTTTTTTCTGCATGCGAAGAGAAAGACCTGTTTTGCTGGCGGATAGGGGGTAGGGCCTTATACATACAGTATATAGTTACTATTGTGTTTGTTGCTTTCTCACACAGTTTATTTATTTTCAAACTTTCTTATAATAAAAACCATTAGAATTACGTTGATTTTTCTGAAGACCTGGTAAAAATGTGCATTGTACGTATTTATGTCATTTTTTTGTAATTTTTGCTTTCAGCTAAGTCAGAAAATATAATAAGAAAAAAAATTAATAATAACTAGACATATGATTAAAAAAAATGTTTTTTGAGAAATATTAATCCTCGATGGATTTCTCGAAAATTTTCTGGAAAAACTTTATTAAAAAAAAATATATATATATATTTTCTTTATCACGAAGTTTCTAATAAGATTTCATTTCATCTGCCTTTGCAGGGCTCATCAAGTGTTCAACAATTGGACGAAAAGCTGCTCAAGGTGAAATTGCAGTTTAAATTGCAAGCGAACGGTATTATTACCCCACAGCCCTCGGACACTGAGGATGATGGGGACGCAGCAACGGCATTATCGGTGCCTGCGGCTAAGAAACCACGCTTAGATGAACCAGTAGCCGAGCATCAGACCCAATCAAAATTACCCAACCAAGAGCAACAGCAGCAGCAACAACAAAGAGCCAGTGTTATAATGCATGTAAACAGCTCCGGGGTATGTTCCAGTTTGGATGAAAATTCATGCTCATCACTTCTATCATCAACGTTACAAAGCACAACGTCTAACAGCTCTTGCTCAAATACGACGGACGATGATTCCACGGAAACGAATGTATGGCGCAGTTTGAAATTTAAAATGAATCGTAAACGTACGTATACCGAGAATTCCGATCCTGAACAAAAATTACAATCAATGCAAACACAACAAAAGCCTAGAAAAACTGATGACAACATAACGGAAATTAAAACTTCCGTTATAACCACAGAAGTATTAAATAACCAAAGAAACGCTGACGACAATAGCTTAGCGAGTAAAGCTATACCAACATCAACAGCAAGTGGATCAGTTCAAAATCCCTTCCAATTTACATTGCCAGACAATACAAATGGACGACCTTGTTCGATTGGCCAATCGTTTCAAGTTATAGCACCAAAAACGACATTTTTAGAGGCAACGGTTCAATGCCCGACGGCAACGCCTGCATCGTTAATACCCTCACAATTCCTGTTATTACATCCGAATGTATTACTGCAAAGCTTAGCTAGCAAACCTTTAAATACTACTACAGTTACTACCGACACCTCCACTACACCAAATGCAGCGAAATCGAATAGCTCGCAGGCATCGAGCGAGCGTAAACGTATTTATGAATGCAATCATCCCGATTGCGGTAAAAACTATTTCAAATCCAGCCACTTAAAGGCCCATCAGAGGGTGCATACGGGAGAAAGACCTTTCATTTGCAAATGGGAAAATTGTGATAAACGATTTTCCCGTTCGGATGAACTCTCCCGCCACAAGCGCACTCACACAGGAGAAAAGAAATTTGTTTGCGGTGTTTGCGATAAAAAATTTATGCGTAGCGATCATTTATCTAAGCATGTGAAACGTCATACGTCCAAGCGTCCTGAGTGTGCACGTAACACATCAACTAATTATGGAAATGTTGGTTCACTTGCATTGGAAGAAAATAATACCAGCTCTTCAGCATCGTCGCCAAGCCAAATGTTACATCATTTAAGACCGATAGCGCCAGCCAATAGTAATCCTGGTTTACAAATGCCCATATCCAGCCTACAAAAACAACAATCACAAATAAAACCTTTACAAGTTCCCTTAAAAATCGATTTTACTACCGCGGAACTGTTAAGTATGCAACAGGTAGCCACTCTTACACAAAATCTTCTTACCAATCTATAAGCAATAAAGAACAATTTGTTTAGCAAAAACATAAGATAATAGTTATCGGGCCTGGCATTCCACTCTTGTAAAAGAACGACGTTTTTGAGCTTTTATGAGAAGGTATACTTGCTTCCTTTCATTCTTATAACAAATTATGACTGCAATCAAATGTAATTTCTATTCGCTCTAATTAATAAACTTTACATATAAACTGTGATATTTAGGTTTTCGTTTCGCGATCATAAGATTGTATTTAATTTATTCTTTATTTTAACCTACACAATGCGTATATATGCACTTTTTCTAAATAAGAATATCTAAGGAAAAAAAAAAAAAAAAATGAAAACTGTTTTCATCTACAAACATTAAAAGAATCTGCTTTTCACATAATATTGGAGTTTTATTTGTAGTCAGCTAATTTACATGCCGAAGAGAGCGGTTAGTTCGCAAATAGGTTTGCTAGCATTGGGCGAACAAGCTTGCCGTACCGACATTTCCCATGTATTCAACAGATGCGACAAAGAATAGAGTTTGGGCAGTTTAGCTATTCGAGCTGTGAATGCGCTTTGCACGGACTTCAAGAACGATGTACAAGTGTAGTCCTGCTCGATCAAAATACAATCCGGCGAAGACAAAGGATATTCCTCTGTAATATCAAATATTATCAATTTAAGAAATCTTATTATTAATTAATTCATTAAATTCATACCTGGTATGTTGATATTTATAGGTGGCACGCTAGGTAACTTTTTGTCATCCAAACAGCATATCAGTTTAATCGATTGAGTATTATTCTGCACGGTAGTATCCAACGAAACTTTAAATTTGGTATCCAAACGTGCTAATTCTCCTTGCAGTAAGTGCGGTATTTCTGTTTCATTTGAATTTGTTGTTTTTGACTTTTTGAGTGGTGGTGGTGCAGAAATATCCGTACCAAGCAGTAATTCCAGAGTTGGACGGAACGTGCGATATAGGGTGTGATTAGCTATAGGACTTTGCAATGTATTGGTTATCACTTCCATTAGGGGATTGGGCGATTTGCCAAATTGTTGCACTATATTGCCAATTTCCATTTTTTCCAAAACCTTTTCACACTTAAGTAGAGTTTCCAAGGACACTCTCTGCGACGGATTCGATAAGATTTCTAAAAGTTTACGCATTTTTGTTTGGCCTTCGATCTGAGCACCATCGTTGCTAAATTTCGCCACCATTCTCTTGAGAGGTTCAATATATTTAGTGAGCTGTTTGTACTTTTCTCGATATAATTGTTCTTCGTGCGGATTGAAAGGACTGTTAGCTACTTGGCCAGGAGTATTTAGATTAGAACTGGGCGATTGTCGCATCTGTCTTTGATTGGGATTTTGCATTAGACCAGACATTTGGGGACTTGAGGTTGGTACTAAAGCGGGGCTGGGTATCATTTGCGCGTTCGGCAACGCCTGATTAGATTGAGGTCCTCCAGTTTGGTTGGCTTGTTGCTGCTGTTGTTGCTGTAATTGCTGTTGATTGTTAACAACTTGTTGCAGTTGTTGCTGTTGTTGCTGCTGCTGCACGGTAAGCCCACCTGCCGGTGAAGAAACCGTACTAGGTGATGGACTTTGCCGAAGAAATTGTTGTTGTCCTACCACGCCTCGGTTAACGTTAAACATCTGATTGTTTTGAGTTAGGGGCATATTGGGATTTTTCTGCATGCCAGGCGGCATGTTTAACATTTGATTGAGGTTGCCTAATATTATCATATTAAAAAAAGTTATAGATTTGCAATTAATATTACCCACCTTGTCCTGCATTATTGCCCATAGCACTTGAAGGAACTTGTGGTCCGCCGCTTACGTTGCCAGAATGCATTTGGCTTACTGCTCCTGCCCCTTGGTTCTGTTGCAAATTACCAGGTAGTCCTTGCATGCCTTGAGCAGCACCACCGGTAGGTCCTGCACCAACCGTTATATTTCCACCGGGGCCGGTCTGGTTCATTCGAGCATTCATCATTTGATTAAGCTGAGAGTGTTGTTGCATGCTCATCTGTTGCATTTGTTGTTGCGGCATTTGTCCGGGTAACTGTTGCACATTCATCCCGTGAACATTCATAGGTCCGCCTTGCATTTGTCCGGCCGCTGCTTGCATCTGCATTTGATTTGGTCCACCGGCGCCCGAACCCATTGGTCCCCCAGATCCCGGGCCGACCATTTGATTCATCTGCCCTGGTCCTAGCCCTTGACCAACACCGGGACCACTACCGCCTGCAGTCATTTGCTGGGCATTGCCAACCATTTGATTTTGTTGAGGTCCGCCTGGCCCTCCCATAATATTCATTTGCAAACCACCTGGTCCAACCATTTGATTCATCATTTGTTGTTGGCTACTAGGGCCGCCCACCACATTTTGTTGTTGACCAGGTACACCGCCGCCCATAGGCATTTGAGGCCGCATGCCCTGCATTTGCTGCATTTGTTGCTGTCCTGGTCGTTGTTGGTTAAGACTTTGCAGCAAATTAGAAGCAGTTACCGGCCCTCCTGGACCTCCACCCATGGACATCATTTGCGGATTACGATTACCCTGGCTCGCCAAATTTTGCAAAGCATTTAGAGGATCTTGCATCATATTTTGTTGAGATATTTCATTAGTCAATTTCCCTTCAGATATATAAAAACACTTTTGTTGTTTACTTATTCTGCAGGCTAATATTGAACTTACTTGAATTCTCCTTAAAATGCGAATATATTTTTGTTAACAGGGTCATATATTCTTCCTTACTTTTAGATTTCTTAAATATATGATTCTCCATAACATTGGCATTTTTATCAAGATGCTGGCCAGATGCTTGCAGCAGGTCTTTTCTAAAAGAAATGAACGCAAATATATATATACTTCTTTCTATCAAGCACGACAATGGAGAACTCTTACATCTTCGCAATGGCACTTTGGCGAAACTGCTGACTTTGCCAGTCGTCCGACATAATTGTTGGAGATATATTTTTTTTAAATTGAAAGCAAATAGTAAAATATTTTCATAAACGCCCGTACTTCGCTTCTCTACGTTAGTATTGCCAACAGTATGCAAAATATACAAAATTATGGATGAAATTGTAAAATCCCTATAAAAATACAGGTTTTTTTAAAACGTTTACGGTTATTAAATAAACAATATTAAAAAAATCTATACATCAAAGCGAATATGATAAATTTTATTTATACGCATATATAATGTAAGTACTATAAAATAAGCCCATTCGAATATAAAATGTATTACACAGGACAAGCAATAAAAATAAGTGTATTGACAGCAAAAGGTTTGAAAAAACTAAGTGGATTTTGCTATTAGAAATAGATTTCTTGAATAGAAAAAAACAATATCCAAAGATTATAAATCAAACGTCTGTCTGTGGTCATCGTTGGCTGGAGACAAATGCAAGTACATCCATCTGGTTAGTTTATTTCTTTATTAGGAGGAGCTGCTTGTTGAGTTTTTCTAAATGTAAAAGATATGATTACATAAATCCGATTCAGAGCAATGGCGATAATACGCTATAATTACTTCTTGGCATTTCCTTCAAATATAAGTATAATTGATCCAGCAAACTCAAATATTCATCTTTAGTTTTAGAATTACTAAATATATGATTTTCCATTAAGCTGGCGCTCTTAATAGGTTCTTTATCATTGCTTCGTAGCATATCCTTTCTGAATAAAAATAATTGAAGTATTAAAAACGTAAATTACTATATAAACAAATTGAAACTTCTCCAATTGCTTTCCGAGTCAGAAATCGTTACTAAATTCTTCATAAAAAAATACCAAAAATAATAATAATCCGATGTGTGCATGGGACGTGTTTCAAACTTTTTCTATTGGCAATATAAACCGGCTGGTAACTTGCACTAGCCGGAGAAGTTCAAACTTCCACCCCTTAAAAATTCTCCATCTTGTTCATTTAATTTCACATTTTGTATTATATATGAAAAAAAAAAAATGAAAAAAACTATTTTCACACTATTGCACTTACATTTTTGTGACAATTTTCTGACGAGATTGTTGATCTTGCCAATCATCAGACATGATCAAGTTGGTTTGTTTGTAATTGTCTAATAATTTGTTAAATTGTTAAGAAAATTGAAGAAATTGCGGAATTTTCCACTAAATGTAATTTTTCCAAATAAACGTTTTTTTTATTTGAAAGTAAGAAGGTTGCCAAGCGCTACGATTTCCTATCATTTGAGAAAAATTGCAATGAATAATTTCTCATTGTAGGAATAATAAAACTCTAGATTCCCAATATGATACCTATACCAAAAAGGAAGAAGAACAAGCAATCTATACCAAAAAGGTAGAATAACAGGCAATCTGCACCAAAAAAATAAACATTTGATTTTCCCAAATTTATATATATATTTATTTATATCTAATGAAGGTCATTTCTTGGGTGTTCGCTGTTTGCTTTGAGACTCCAGCATTGTTATTGTTTGCGATACTCATAGCGGGGGTTAAAGTAACATCACTTCCTTTCTTTAGATGTTACTACTTTTCCTTAATTAACAATAGTTATTACTATAATTAAATTAACTTTATGATTAATTGATGTAATAATTACTAATACATAACATCATCGAACCATTCAAAAATAGTAAGGAGCTTTAAATTTTAACAATGCGATTAAATTTGGTTTGCATAAACACTATTGTTTTGCTTAATAAGCAAAGGCATTGTAAATGATGCCTTCGTCTGTTCGTCTAACTGCTTGCGCAACTTTTTAGTGTTTATGGTAAAATGTCTCCTGTTAGCGAAAGTGAAGATATCGTCTTCAAATTAGCCAAAGAATTTGGAATTTACCTAAACTTTTCAAAGAATAGGCTACAAAACCCGCATGCCTACACGATAAAAACTTTTTGGCATTTCGCAAGCGCCACACTATATCACGATTAATGTTTTAACTGAATTAACAGATGTGTTTGCAGATATTTGTGTTGGTTTAAGAGCATTCCTAACCTCATGAAATTTCATTCATCGGACTGTTGAATAAATAGCAGGCCGAGAGCGCTTCAAAATATGGTGACACTTATACCAAGAATTAAATAGTTGGCGATGAAGTTTTTGATGTTAATTATAAACTCAGCTATAGAATTACAAATTTTGTTATCCGGTTTTCCTGCCAATTCGCAAAAGGAAACTTTGGCAAATATAGTATACGGTTGTACAACATTATCGAAAAATGGGGAAGAATGTTTGAAGGTGGAAGCAGTTTTATGATTAAAGAGAAAACATAACAAAAATTATTGTAATAAAGAATATTTCTATACATACATACTTCATCACAGATAGTTTGGCGGTCATAAATGTTGTCCTAAGTTCCTGAAACTCGAAGTGGAACACCATTAACAAAGTAACAAATACCATTGTTGCTGATGGACACAAAGTAAAATATTAGAATATTTTGGTTAGCAAATCACCTCAGTCGCTTGGGTCCGGGCCTTTAATTACAGACGACACAATAGAAAGGAAAATATATTAGAATATAAGTGGGAACACTGCATTGATGCATGGCCCACCGTCAAATATCCTACAACACCCTACAATTATTCATATATCGACTTTTCGAAACTGGACGTTATATGATAAGTGGTTGAAGAAAGCCGATTGGAATCACTTTCAATAGCATTCGTTCTTGGGCGAACCCAAGTCACCGTATTCGATTTCATCAAAATATCTCAAAAATTTCGACTTGTCGGGTAACCAAGAGAATACAAAGTAGACAGACGGACAAGTAAGCTTATATAAATTCAGGAGGTTACTCCAAATCGTTCGGTGTAATAAAATATGACTCTATTTCAAGACTTTCTAGTTATTGCATACATCCGGTCGAACTTAGCATACCCTTGTAACATAAATGAAATAGACTATCATAAAAAGGGGATAGAAGAGTTTACGTCGAACTTTTAAGACGAATAAAGTACGACAGTTTACAACTTTGATTAATTTAGAAAATTTATGAGGCTCAACGGTTGGAAGATTTGGGAAATCCGTAAATAATTTTGAAGCTCTTATTTCGAGTGATTTCAAGTCGTCTATTAAGTACCTTATGTAGTAATATTTTATTAACTGTTCATTCGTTCAGGAAAAGTTGTCAAATATCGTCTTTATACCCTACACCACACGTGGTACAAGTTTATTAAGTTCGTGCGAACATGTAAGCGCTTGAGATGGACTTGCCCTTTTTTTATACCGTTCGATTCAGAACTATTTTTTGATCGATACAAATTCAGCCGGCCTGTCCGTTTGATGTCTGTCTAAGTAAATTTATTTTTAAGCTATAGGTCGAAATTTGCGTTTTATGTATATAAGGCTGTGCTTACAAAAGTTATACGGAAAAAATTGCAATTTTCAAAAATTTTCGCAAAAGTGGCTAAGTATTAATATCTTGGCTCTTTAAATTGGTGTGGAAAATTTGGACCGGTTGAAGCAATTCGTTGAACTTCCCCTCATATAAGGAAAACTGAACTATAAGGAACTAATTTTCAATGCTTCACGATGAAAATCAGATCATAATAGCAATTTAAAATAAAAAAATTAACTGTAACAAATTTGAACCCCGTATGCCTATTTTTGAATGCTGACCTACATAATGATTTTTGTTTTTTAGGGCAGAAAAGTCAAAGTTTTAATATTTTGTGATAAAAATAGATCCGCAATCGTAATTTCATATAAAAATTAATTGGTCTGAACCTGAAGTCCGATTTTTAGTAAGTTCCATAATAGTAAGTTGGTATAAAAAAAGGGTATTATTTTTGTGTTCTATGATAAAACTGAGAATTGTGTTAGGCAACGTGGTGTACGGTATTTAACTAGCCGGCCTAACGCAACTGTAATGTTTCCGCTTGTTTTAGATTACCAAAGTAATTCCCTCCTTTAAGCAAAGCTAATAAAAAAAAGGAAACTTTTCAGGCTATGTATTTGTCCTTGATTTTTTTTAGCGCGTTTATTTATCCGTTAGTAATATTGTAGAGAGCAAGAACATTGTGTTGAGATTCAAACTAAGTGATCCGACTTAGGTATATCACAAGAAATGAGTTGTCTGAACTAAAAAACATAAATCATAATTTATTTTTAGTCTTTATTTATACCCTACACCTACACAGAAAGGCCTGAGCTAGACATTCCTTTTATTATACCGATCGACTCAAAATCATTTTCTGAATCGACCTCAGCGTGTCTGTCCGTCCACCATGTAACTGTTAGTACTGCAAAAACTGAATATTTATAGCGGTAAAAAGGACTAGATTTCAATATTTCTTCATGAAAACTCGTTTATAATAACAATGTGACATAAAAATTAACCTTAACGAATTTGGACCATATATAGGCCTATGTATAAGGGTTTTAATGGAAAATAAACCTTCATATGACAAAAATGTCTAATTATGATGAAATATGGTCCTTATTAAGTTAACCATAGGGAATTCGGAGTACATAGGTTTATTTTTTAGATCACACCATAGATAGGGGCTCTCATGAGCGCAAACCCACAAAGTTGAACTTATGGTTTGTTATGACGCCAGCAAGTGGAAATTATCAAAATCTTTGACAATTAAATCAAGTTTGCTTAATTTGGGCTGCGTTAGTTCAAGTTTGAGTATGCTCCAATATGAGGGCCTTCAGGGAATTTATGTGTTTACATAAATATGATGTCTAATTTTTAGGATAAAAAAATGAGTGAATGACTGCACTAGATGAAGTGATGTAAGGTATCTATATGTCGACCTTACCCAAGCATGGCATTCTCATATGGTGTATAGTAAATCTTAGGAAATTTCAATAGCAGGCACTTTTCGAACTCTCAAAAAAAAATATATATATATATAAATAAGAATAAAAGTCTGCTCTGCATTAAAACTCTCGGAGTTGCTTTGGTTTACAAATTTTATAAAATATTTAAAATTATTTTGCAAAATCCGCATAATAATGTCTACTGATTGGCCAAATCAACAATTTCGGCAAAATGTTACAATCAAAATGTAAGTTGATCAGTACTAAATGACCAAAGCATTTATTACTTTTCTCTTAATTTGTTTTTTA